CAAAATGGTCCCCCAGGGACAGGGGTCTTCCGAAACGAAGGGTCCAGTCTTCTTTGTTCAACGCTTTTTTTTTCTTCAACGCGGAACTTCGGGCCCTCATCTGCCGGCAGCCCCGACTTTTCTCTGCGTGCTGCCTGTTAAGTGCTTGTTCGTGTTTTCTCTTAGGCGGAATGTGACCCTGGCAAGATGAGCTAGGTAGAGATTTGACCCACGCGATCAGTGCACGCATCCACTATAAAGGCCCCTTGCAGAGGTGCGCATGCGCTGGAACGACCTTCTATAACCGGGCACTGGGCACAAGCATCACCTGAGAGCTGTCTCATGCCGCTTATCAGATAAGACACCAATCGATGTAGACTCAACATTGACCACATGGATTTTAGATTTCACCAAGACATGCATCTTCTACAAGGAAGCCTCAAAGTTTTAGAAGTAATTCAAACATTTCCATGCTGCTAAAATACAGAAAAGGAAAAAACAAGCACAGCGGCCTCCCTTAGTCAACCAAAGCTATCCGATACCAAGTACAAACGAAACCAAAAAAAGCAAACAAGATGCAAACGCCAGTCCCTCCCTTTTTTCGCCTCTTCAAGTCCCATGTCCCTCCCCTTAAAGCCCTTCCCATTAACCCCCAGCCCGTGATATCGAAGCAACAAAGGAGACAGGAAGAGGAACTACGGCACAAAAAGGCCAATGCACACATATATGACACAGAATAGAAACCAAAACAAAAAGATTCCACAATGAAATGAAGCAAACAGGCGCTGTGCCAAGTGTCTGCCTGCAGAACAGACACAAGGCTCTCAAACGCCCCTTCGTAGATGACCCGCATCCTCATGAGCTCTTCAAATCGTCTCGCTGCCAAAAAATGAGAGAGGGCGAGGCAGCGAGTACCATGGACACATGCCTCATTTACACCATTTTTCACCATTAGCCGTGAAAGCACACAAAACGTGGCCATGATTCGCTAACAGCAAAGTCGCCAGACAAACACAAGCAAGGAAAAAAACGATCAAGCCAACTTCTAGAAAGCACTCTCGTCTGTCCATTCGCTTCCAGATATTATCCGGTTGCCGTCCTGGTCAGTCATCACGGGCGCCGCATCATGCGCTGCAGGAACTCCACGTGTGCGCTTTGCCGAACTGCTTGTTGGGCGATGGCCGTGTTCGGGTTCTGCTCGCTTGCCCCGAAGAGCTCGGAGCTTGGCAAAGTATGCATCTGACGTGTCCAGCTCCGGCTCACTATTGTCATCATACGTCTCCCAGTTCTCGGAACCGGTAACCACCGTTGATGTTGTGGATGTGCTGGAAAGATGTCTGGCTGATGGCCGAGGATACCCCGGTACTCCCCGTACGGATGAGTAGTGATCCTCGTAATCCTCATCCAGGAAGCTGTTCTGTCGAGAATGAGACATGTTCGAGTCGGGTCGGCCCTTTTTGGCTGACTGCGTCCGGTCATCGTAGACGTCTTCGGGATCAACTGCGCGGATAATGCTATGATTCAGACCCACAGACTTGTATGGGTTCATTGGCGTTTCCAGCGAGGCCACAGATCTCAACTCGCGCATCTTGGGCGGAGGAATTCTGACCGAGCCTCCAATGGGCCGCTTGGTCCGCTCTGGTGAATTGTTGCCATCTTTCATCTTGGACAGGGGCACTCTTGCCACTGGTCCTCTGGTAGGGCTGCTGTTGCTCCTCTGTATGTCAGACTTTGAAAACATTGGCTGAGACTTGTTGCCCAGGTTATAGATACTACCCGTCGTGGGGGTTCTCGTCAACGTATGAGGAGCTGCTGAGACCTTGCTGGTAGTAGCAGGCCTCATTGTCGACGCCGACGCCGACTTGAGAAGGCTCCTGGCAGATGCTGGAGGAGGGCCAGCAGGTGTTCTGGAGCGTTGGGTAGGCTTCTTCGCGTCTTCGAGTTCTACCTCGTCGACGTATGGCTCGCCGTAGACCAAAAAGGGTCGGTCGTATTCTTCCTCCCATTGCTCGAGTGCCTTTTTCACTTCGGCCGTCACCTTGGGGAGCTCCTTGGCAACGCGCTTGCGCATCTTTTCCTCGCGAAGCAGCTTTCCGGGGTCTCGCTTCTCGCCCTTCTGTCCGCGCAGCATGAGGCGAGACGCATCTTGGCTTGAGGCAACGAGGTCGTCGCGGTCCTTGATCAAAGCCTTGTGCTTTTCAATCAGGCTCAGAATTGGGGCCCGCTGTTCCTTCAGTGCCTCGAGCCGAGCAACCTCGCGCTCGTGGGCCTCTAGCAGCGCATCGCTGTGAACGTCTGAAAAGGCGGGTGTAAAGTCGAGCATCTCATCTTCCGAAAAGTACAGGGCATCCCAGAGCTCTTGAAGCTTGACGCGCGCGTCCTCGATGAAGATGTGCAGGTTCTGGCGCTTGACTTCATTCAGCCGCTCAAGCTCGTCTTCGAATTCGTTAATCTGTCGCATGCCACAGCCCCTGTTCTGGCTGAGGAAATCCTTGGTCTCCTCTTCGGGAATGCCGAGCTTCTCCCAGAGCGTTTCGACGGTACTCCTGAGCTGTTGCAACTTCTTCTCGCGGTTCCTCTTCTCCTCTGACAGCTTGTCGTGCTTGCCTTGCAAAATCTGAATGTCTTCCTGGTGGAGGCCGAGCTGCTCAGGGGCTTCACGGTAGTACTTGATGATGGCTGTATCCTGCTGGGCCTGAGGAGTGCCAAGCTCGGCCCAGAGCTGGATGATTTCGTCGCCCAATGTCTCCACCGTCGCGAGCCGGCGAGTATACTCTTCATACACTCGCGTAAACTCTGCGTCGAGGCGGTCCATGTAGGACGGTGACAGGTCAAAATTGAGAGGAATGGATGCGTTGGGCTCAGTAGACGGTAGGGGAACCTTGACAAACGAAGGCTCCAGATGTGACGAGTAAGACTCGAGGGCCTCCACAAGCTCTGCGAAAAATGGTCAGCAATGCGCCTCTAAATCTCAATAATGTTGTAGACAGGCATAAACTCACTCTGTACATGGTCAACCCGCTCCTGGCGCAACCTCTGTACCTGGCTGTGCTTCTCCTTGAGCGTCTCCAAGCATTCCATCAGAGGATAGGTAATCTTGATGCTCTCGCCATTCGAATTCTTTCTTCGAGGTCTAGAGTCATCCAAAGAGGCCTCCATCTGCCGAATCTCAATGACAACCTTCTTGCACTCATCAATCATCTGCTTCTTCTCCGACGTCACCAAGCGCAAATGATTGTTCAGCGCTTCTGATAGAGCCTGAAACAGCTACGTCGCAATTCACGTCAGCATCATTGCGCAGACCAAGCGACTTCTCCTCTTCGATCGCAAAGGAAAAAGCAATGGGGAATCCGTCGTACCTCGGCTTCTCGAGCTTCGCGCTCATGATCCGGCACACCAATGTCGTCAAACAAGCTGTGCAGCTGGCCAATGCTGTTGTTGACCTGCTTGGAGAGGTAGCTGGTGTCCATGGCGAACCGAATCAGCCACCCCAAGGCGACTCAAAGCGCTGCTAAGTATGTTCTGTTAGAGACAGGCTTGAAGAGTCCCAAGCCTCGTGGAGTGCTGGCGGTTGGTTGGAATAAAAACCGCCAGGCAAGTTTGTCGCAAAAAGTCCGTGGTTGGTAAAAGAACCTGAACTGCGCGCGCGGGGTTTGCCGATTGATGACGCAGGGGCAGTGCAGTGCAAGTGGGCAGCTGAAAGCCGGGGTGTCAAAATCAATGATGTGTTTATTACCGATGCAGAACAAGAGGCAAGGCTGATAGCTCGGGCGGCAATCGATATTCTGTATCGATAGCGAAAAAAAAAGGGAGTAAACAAATACTCGACTTCTTCAATGCATGTAAAAAAAATAAAAATAACGAGAGTTGGCGCCTACTCAAAAGCTCGCCTTGGGCCGAAGCTGCTCAGGTTGAAGAAGAGGAAGAAGAAAGGAATTGAATTTGTCGAAAACATGCAGCGCTGTGAGACACCTTTTGCATGAAAAAATAAGTGTAGGCAAGGCATAATGGCATCATGGGTCGTTGGGGGGCAACTCCACTGTTTAGCCGCTGTACGTTGCCATGGCGACGGCCAATTGCCTTTTCCAGGCGCCCTGCAGGCGGGCGGCGCCGTTTGAGTGGCCGTTTCAGACACCCCGCCTTATGTATCGTATCGCATCGTCTCATGGCTGTGTCCGATCCGATGGTTACCTCCAGCTACTATTTACAGCTCAGATGGATATTGAGGAGAAGTATTTACAGGGGATACTGATGATCAGTTGATCTCTCATTCTTGGTATATAGATAGTCAATGCATGTTGTAGAAGAATCCGTCTGGAGTCTGCATAGAGTCTGCATTCTCATCGGCTAACAGAATACACATCACACACAGACTACCAACAACTTCTGTCTGCTTCTCTTGTTCTCCAATCCACCCCGTCATCAAGCATGCCCGTGTTTATTTGCAACATGCAGATTTCGTTAGCTCGCGTGCTACCGCATTAGACTCATGCAAAGCATCCCGATGCCTCTTCCTCTTTGTTTACATGGCATGCATACGGAGCTTTTACTGGGCACAGGCCCAAGACAAGGCCCCATGCAGTGCGTAGCGGGGATGCCCGCTGCTGGCCTTGTCTCAAAAGCCCATTTGTTAGGATCCCGCTCAAAGCCCATTTGTCTGGATCCTCCGCTCAAGCCCATTTGTTTGGATCCCGCTCCAAGATCTTTTAGCCTGGTGTCTGTCCCACAAAGATCCCGTTGCCCATCAGCTGGTGGATCTGTGTGACTGTGTTACCAGGCTGATGTGCTCCTCTGTCTTGCAGGTAAACATGGGGCTGTCCGTGGTCATGGAGTTGTTGACCTGGCCAATTAATTAATTCACTTCTTAGTGCTCACTCTTACCAAGCATTGCATTATAAAAACATGCATGTTGTTGTCAAGTACGACAGACAAACAAAAACATAAACTGCGTGCGTCATTGGATGCAATCAACATCATAAACAATAATAAACTGATGCAAAAACACAAAAAGAGAAATTTGTCTCCGATACTGGGAATCGAACCCAGGGCTGCTCGGATCATTAATGAGAGCGAGCGATGTTAGCCACTACACCATATCGGATATTTTTCTTGAAAGGTCTGGGCGTAATTGATAGCTGTAAGCTGTACCCCTCACGCTAAGTGCGGAAGGCATCGAGCTAACTGAAGTCTTGCTCCAGTCAAGTGTAAGCATCCACAATGACAACCCGAGGCTGCTGTGTTCTGACGCTGCTTGACATCTGATTTATAGACATGAGGGCACATTCTTCAGACTTGCCATCGGTAAGACGGCTAATACAGCAACTCGACAGACATAGTTAAAAGAGTAGAGCAATTCTTGATAAAAGCCGATCACCCGAGCGACGGGCCGGCGTCATTGGCGATGAAGCGATCCAACCCAACCCAAAACTCCACCAGGACCTGTATGCCTGCCCTATGTAAAGCGACTACTAGTCTAGTCGTGTGTAACGAACCAAAACGAATGCCCAGAGGTATCTTATCCGTAATTAATCCCATACCCAAAAGAATAGACCCCAATACAATCCCATTATATCGCATCACTAGACCCGGACCACGACCGCATCCCAATCTCGTCCGCTCCGTCGTCCGGAATAGGGTCGCCCATATCCATAATACCATACATGTCCCATGATAAAAAGTTTTGCAAGTCATCAAGATCGAGTGCCTCAAACATCGGCTGAATCGGGCCACCCCACTTGGCTTGGACTGGCGGTGGTTGCGGCAATGCCGTTGGTACCGGCTGTTCGTGCTGAAGTCCAGATCGTGATGAAGCTAGGCCGTCCTGGCTGAGGCCAACAAGCTGTTGAGCTGCATTGTTCCGATCCCACGTACCGGAGCTCGGACTTTCGGCAGACCAGCTTAGTCCCCGGACGCCACTTGCACGATCAGCGGCTCGCCTCGTCGCAATACCCGTCCGTGCAAGCGAATGAAGAGAAATAGACGGAAGCATGAACTCTGGAGTGCCTTGTACGGGGCTGACCGACACAGGCGTAGATCTGTAAGATACAGTGTTAGTCAAGGGTACATGATAAACAGCGAACGACCCGACGGTCCGATATATACTTACTGTTCGCCCTCCTGAGTTTCGGAACGAGCTTCGGACAGTATTCTGTTCACAAGGTCATCTCGATTAGATGTTTGCCGAATCTTGGTCAGCCATCTATCAATTGTATTTGACTATAAATACAGTTAGCAGGAGACGATTAATCAAGAAATATTTCCGGAGGCTCACAAGTGACTGCGCAATCGGAAACAGGGCAGACATCATCCGGAGAACCCGACGATTGCTCTCAACAGCGTTGATGGCATCGCCCAGTTTTGACTGGGCATCGGGCCTGTTCGGATCGAGCAAACGCGCAACGTAGTACAGCATCACCCTGCTGCTATCATATACAAAGTAGGGAAGCAGACTGTCGGATAACAGATTCGCTCCGTGATCAGCAGCCTCAGCCAAGATGTCGGCTATCTGCTGCGCATGATGATAGCAGTTGGCCTGTGCGGATTGAAGAAATTCGTGGTGCTCCGGCGGAACCACGAGAGGTTTGGGAAGCTTGAATAGATCCGGCATAGACAGCTTGTATAGCTCCAAGTAGTTGTGGTGATATGTACAGTGTATCAAGACCAATGCTCCCAGTTGATTTGAATCCAATCGTGCATAAATAGTTTCCATGGAGTATTCGACAAATTCCGGAAGTTCTCGCTGCCATAGACGAAGATCGGCGTCGAGGGCAGCAAACGGCGATTCGGGGAGCCAAGGTGGAGGATTGGAGTCTAGCTGATTTACATATCTGCGATGGCAATTAGAATGAGAAGACGGCTAAAGAACGACTGTTGGCAATATTAAAAAGCCCATACCTCACAATTCGTTTCCAGAGCGCCACTACTCGGATGTAGTATGCCATGATGCCCATGTTTGCCGATGGCTTTCTCGGCACCACAGATGGCGGCAGAAACTGGAGGACATGCCCCACGCCGAGGGTTTCTGTCACTGAAGCTATTCGCAGCCCAAAATTCCTCTCGTTGCAAGGCAGTTGAATCTTGATGTCGTTTTCGCGGAGAAGGGTAAGTTGATCGATGCCACTGCTGGCCCACGCATCGAGGACATAGCATGCCCACATGAGCCTCCGACGACTCTCCCTGGTGACGACCGACGGAGCAGATTCGCTGGAATCGGTGCAGAGGACGTCGGGGGATGCCTCGACATTGATTTTGAGAGCATGTGCCATGCGGACGGCAAGGCCGCTGAGCATCAAGGCGTGGGAGTATTCTCCAAGTCGGAAGTGAAAGTCATGAAGTAATATGGCAACCTTAGGAATGATGAGCAATGGTCTATTATTATTGAGAAAGTGTAAAGTTGGGTTAGCTTACCATGAGTCTTTGGACCGAAATCTTTCCAAAGTTGGTCAGGATGAGAAACTCGGCCCTCTTGGCCCACTCATTGCCGGCAAGGCGGATGAAGCTAGACGCAGAGGTGTGGTGCTCGTTTTGGTTCAAGACGTAGAATCTATTCATAGCATGTCAGTATGCTACTGCCCTCTCCACAATATAGATGGCCACTCACTTTGCTCCATGTGCGCATATAATGTGCAACAGCGCCGACTCGTCATCGCTAGTGAAGCCCTTATCAAGCTGGCGCATGAATGATGGCTTGTGGACAAAGGCGAAGCATCGGATGGGATGGACATTGGCAAAGTATTGCTCCACCACACGGCGCAGGTTACGGCCGGTGGGAAGACTCGGTGAGACAAGCCTGGAGTATCACGTGTGAGCAGGAGACTGTTGCATCAAATCATGTCATGCCACCAAACCAATACATACCATGACAATATATCGGAACCTGACGGCTCGATAGAGGCAACGCTCTGAGCGCTGCCAAGAGGCTTCTTCGACCCCGAGATCTCGCCCAGCTTCAGCGGCTCAGCAGAGCCAATGCTCGTCATCGGGGTGTCATCCTGAGCATCGGCCTCGTCGCTGGCCTCGAGCATGGCGATGGCGAGCTCCCGCGACTTGCTGCGGCTACCTTCGGTCGACGCCGTCCTGGATCCGCGGTCGAGGTTTCGCGCCCATCGCGGGGCCGAACCGCCGTCGTAGACGCACTCGGTCTTCTTGGCGGTGCATCGCGAGCACTTCGGGCGGTCGCCGTTGCATTTGGTCTTGGAGAGGCGACAGCTCTTACATGAGCGATAGGTGCGGATCTTCCTTAGGGACATGGGCGTGGCTCGGCCGGCGGCGAGGCCATTGTCGCCGACGCAGTCGAGCTGGAGGCGCTCGCAGTTGCGACATCCGTTTGGCCTGCCATCGCATTTGACCTGCGTAAAAGAGAAGAAGTGAGAGGCTGTACAAAATAGTATAAAATGATATGATATGAGAGAGCTGGATGGAAGAGAGAGAAGAGTGAAGTGGGCCAAGCTTGGTAAGGCCGGGAGAATAGCAGTAGCAGTAGTAGCAGCTGTAGTAGTAGCAAATAGCAGGCAGTTTTAGACTCACCTTGCGCGCTCTGCACACCCGACAGCCCATCGTTGCAGAATCGCACAACCAGGGCCACCAAAAAATCGCAAAAAAATCCAGCAGTCCAGCCCAACACCAGCGATGCCAGAATCCCAGCACTCGAAGATGTGAAAAGAAGGCAAAACCAGCATCGCCAGGCGACCAGCCGGCCGTCCAGAGTTTGGGGCCCTTGAGCCCTGCCCGAGGGACCGATGGGCGCTAGTGCGGGTGACGTGCTCGGGCGCCTCCAAGACGTTTTTTGCCCATGACCCATTGCGCGATCGCCCACTGGCCCTATCAGACCAGCCAGTAATTACGTCTTTTCCGGTCGTAATTCTTGCATTCTGGCGGTACTGCCTGGTACTGCTGATTTTGCGGCGGACGACAGTGGAAAGCAATGTACTGTGCCATAGAAGGGGGAACTCGCGTGATACCAAGCCTGACTGACAACTTCGGGGGATGCTTCCTTCACTGAGAACCCTGGAGGAGTTGAGGAGCTCAAGGTACAAGCAGCCGGTGTACCCTCGGGCGGCTCCTCGGTGAGCTCTCGCTGGCAATTCGCTGGCGTCTCGGCCACTTTTGACGGCGGAGGTACCGCCTGCGCGGCCTTTCGGAGGTACCTTTGCAGCAGATCTTGACCCTTCGAAAACGCGTCACCGTTAATTCGAATGGCGACAATGCCGACGTCCGGTTGACTGGCGGCATTCGCGGCGAAATCCTAATCCTGCATTTATTACTTGCTGCTTTTCTACCGGAATTCTGGCTGATTTGCTTTATCCAGTCCCTTTCCATTGATGTGAGGCTCGTAGTTCTAGTACAGCAATGGGTGCCATATATCATATAACACACTCAACCAAAGACAATTCCGATCTCCGTGACACTTACATAAACTACACACTCCCAGACAAGCCAGTGCAGATCTGACTCAACTTCTAGCTTCCCCCCTCATCGTTATCATAATCACACCCAGTGTTACCAGTATCCATCCAACAGATTGCAAGCCACATCGCTACCATCTCCATTCCTGATGTAATCCTTATGCATCTTCGCCAAGCATCGCACACCATCTCCCCCTCCAGCGAATGACCTCCCATGTACGAACCCTAATCGGTAACCATGAGTTCTTAGCAGGGTGACGCTTGTACCACCTCGTCGGATACATAAACTAACTGCCGAGCTTTAGTCTCGGATCCTGTGCGAATGTCTCACGGAGACCGTCAGACATTGTCTCGGAGCTTTAAGTGCGTTGTCTGCCGCATGTTTCGTCGATACTGATAAGACATAACGAGACTCCTCGGCGGAACACGGACCCGAGTACCTTTACGATAATATCATGCTATCCATACATCTTCTTTATAGTAGCTCATGTGTTTCCGACTCAAAAGCCCATCTTAGTGGAAGTATACTGTACTGACATCAGAAAATCTTGGGGAAAGATAAGCAGCCACGCCAAGTGGAAGACCGAATCAGTACCTCCACTTACCGACGCCTTCATATTAGCCACGGAGATACATAAAAGATATTATATACCTTCTTTAAACAGCTATCATCTGCCGTTGAGTTATCAATGGGATG